ATCCTTCTGTATATGTTGTTTAAGCCTTGTTTAATTGAGATTGTTGATGCATGTTGATGTCTTTAAAATAGTCTGGGACATTAATTGAACACTAGAACAAGTATTAAAACAATTACAGAGGCCATGGAAATCACCGGAGGCGAGAAAGACGAAGCAGAAACATGTAACGACTTCAAGGAGTGAGAGAGCAGGCTCCTAAAAGGAGGGAGCCAGCTCCCTCAAAGATAGAGGCGGCTCCTAGCTCTAAAGAGCTGGCTCCAAGGCTGCAAGAGCCAGCTCTCCTATGTTGGGAGGCGGCTCCCAAGTTTATGGAGCAGGCTCTCAATTTGTGAGAGCTTGCTCTCGCCCGAAACTACGTATTACTTGTTTTTAGGCTGTGTTTGGGCTGTACTGGGGTTTTTTTGATCCGTTTAAATTGCGTTAAATGGTGTAGGTAATTGTTATAGACCTGTAAGAATACAGGGAAACAATAATTCAATAATGGATTAAGGAATGGACAGTGTGAACTTAGGGAAAAGTCCTACATGTTGCACTTTGGTTGTTAAGTAACTTACCTACTGGAATTTGGAGATTCTTGTAAATATGATTTAATACTGTTTAAACATATTTAAATAGAGGTATAAGTATAGTGAATTACTTAAAAATAACTATGCTTGGTTGGGATTAAATTGGCATTTAATTTGCTATAAACTGTATTTATGAACGAGTTGGAGGATTTAAATGCTTTAATTGATTTTAGCAATTTAAATAGTTGGAACATAATTTTTAGGTTCTATAATGAATGCCTAATATCGTTGTATATGTATTAATTTATGTTGATGCATACTTTGGAGAATGGTTGATGTATTGACTGCTTGGATTTCATCAATTATTGGATTTATGGATTCTTATGAAATTTACATTTAAGAATTTCATTATAATGTGTTCAGTAATAATTCTAATTATCATTATATTGTTCTAGATTATAATTGATAAACTGCTTATTTTGTTTTGTCAATTGTTCGATTTGTTGTGTGTGTATGCACCGGTATGGGACGGTGGCATACTAGGGACGGATTAGTTCAAAATACTAAGTCCTACCTATTTGGAAATAAGTTGGGTTAACCTTTTAACAGTTACATCCTACTTATATATATGTATATGCACCGGTTTGGGACGGTGGCATATTAGGGATGGCTTAGTTCAAAACACTAAGACGTATACTAGGGACGGATTAGTTCAAAACACTAAGTCCTACCTATTCTGGAATAAGATGGATTAACTATAAAAGTTAAGTCCTACTTATATATATGACAGGTCAATAAACATTTGAATGTCATATCTTGAACGGATTTTTTATATATATCTTTATGGTGCCATGATATGAGCTTGAGTCTCAGGATCATGGTTAGGATGCGTATATCGCCTAGGATGGATAACTGGACATAATTGTTGTTCTCTGGTAGGTCTAGGTATACATGACCACGTTACGTGCGATTTGCATGTTACCTTCTATTCAGGCTGAGACTACACTATAGTCTAGTGAACGTCTTATAGTGTGTATATATATACATATATGGACTATTTTAGTTATTGTTGAGCTATCTAGGATGTATCTGCGTATTGGGTTTCTGTATGGATTGTAGTAGGATAGAACTTGCATGTGGGCCTGACGCACTCTTATTTTTTTCTAGTGTTCGCAAGTTCCAGGCTTAAAGCTTGATCATGCCGAGCAGATACAGACACTCACTCCTCCAACTATGTAGGACTGCTTTCCATGTTTAGCTTTGTATTTTTATTTTAGTTGTATTACTTTTCAGTTTGGGATTGAATAGGGGTCCACTAGATGGATTCCCGAGTTGTACAGATATTGGGACGTTGGGAATTTATTATTTAATTTTTGAGGATTTTTAATTTAAAGTTCTTTCAGCGTATTATTATTTTATTCTTATTTCATATTTGTATTCTGTGCTTATTTACATATTAATTGTTTGGTATTCCTCGGATCTGTGCTCGGACTTGATCACCCGTGGCTCTAAAATCGAGGGGTATCACACTTTGTTTGGCAAATCTTGTATTATAAATTGTAATGAGAACCAAAGGGAAGGGGTCACTTCCACATTCGAAAATCTGTTATGGCTCTGTTTTCTCTTCTTTACATCTAGAACCACATCTTCCATCAAACCCTCTCTCAAGGGAGAATATATTCAATGTGCTCGGTGCACCGGGCCATCCCAGCCGTCCATATCCGCGCGTGCACGACACGAACGGCTATGATGTGTCCGATGCACCGGACACATTGAATATCTTCTCCTCTCGGCCCCCCCCCCCCCCCCCCCCCCCACATTTTTTTTTATTACTATCCCTAAATAATAATTAATTTTACTTATATATTGATCCCAAAATAGATAGTTTAAAAATAAATTAAGCGTGTGTCACATTAAAACATATAGAATTTTCAACTTAGTCCATTGTAACTATACTTTTGAAAGCTCAAATATTGTGAAACATAAATTTAAGTTCATTGTTTTAATAGTCTTTACCGCAACACTTCACTATTTCATTTAGATATTCATATGTGATATGTACAATAAATATTATATTAATTCAAGAGAGAAAAAAGGAGAAAAATTACTAATGTTCTCTCATGTTTAATAAAAATGCATTAACCTTTTTTGTCAAACATTTTTGTCAAATGGTGTGTTTACAAGAAAAATAGTTTACAAGAAAAATATCTTGAATTATATAGCAATCTCCACTAGCGAGTGCTAGGAGCATTGGGAAGGAGAATAAACTAAAGTATTGTAAAACCATCAATAACAACAACAATATCATATATATGCTAATACTTTTAATTGTCACTTGCTAAATGACAAATTCTATAACTATTTATACAAGTTAATAAAGTGCTATAATAATCTTGTGTTAGTTTAAACTTGAGATATTAGTTTAGTTAAAAATCATTATTGATTTTTTCTAATCTTTCATCTAAGTAATAATGATTTTTTGCTTCCAAAAATTTGATTTTTTAAAAACTGAAACAATTGATGAATCTTCTCTTTCTCTTTTTCTTTTTTTCCTTAATGGGATTGTTTTATAAATTTAAAAGTGATAATAGTACAAGACGCATAAGTGGCATACCCCTCCTCTTTTTAATTGTAACTTATCATTTCTTCTTCTCTGTACTTTTCTTTTTCATATCAGTTTTTCGTTTATTTATTTAAGTTCTATTTCTCTCATTTTTTGATTTTTTTCAAGGTATATATACTATGACTAATATTTAAACAAAATTATATTACAATTTATTTTTAAAAAAATTCAAATTTTAGTTTCATAGTACAAATCCAGCCCTCCCAAATTATAATTTTTGGCTCCGCCCCTGCCCTCTCTCTTAAAAACCCTTCTCTCTGTAGGCATATAATATATGGATCAACAATAAAAATAAAAATAAAAATTCACCATTTGGCTGATAATTACAATGACCAACAATTAAATTATCTAATAAAAAATACTAAAAACATGTAATATTGACAAGATTCCTGACCTTAACAGTATTTATCCCCTTGGAGCTGATTGTTGATAAATAATATCGAAGAAGGCAGAGAAGGGTTCAACAATGGATTGTAGAGGCAACAATGGTGGTGGTGCTTCAAAAATGGAGAACAAAACAAGCACGGGCAAGGATTGAGGAGATTTAGTGAGCTACCATGTTTTGTGATTTTGTATCCATTTCCCTTTTCATGTGTACAAGTTAACAAATTTATAATCCACTTTCTTCCATGGAATCTGGTTAAATATACCCATTTTGGATGCAAAGGAATTATTTCCATGTGTATGCGATGAAGCTTGGCTTTCAATGGAGCTTCAAAAATGTAACAGACTCCACTGCCAGGTAAACTCTTTTATTATTATTATTATTATTATTATTATTATTATTATTTTAGCTTCCAAAGTCCAAACAAGTCATTACAAAATTTCAAAAAAAAAACCTATTTGTCACAAATTATGTGAGAATGAATTTGAATTGGTTAAAGTGCATACATCAACTGGTTCATATATTCAAATATCTTATAATTTGACCAAAATTTTGAGACTAACTGAAGAAAAGGAAATTTTTTCTTGACCAACCCTAGATTTGATGTGTATCCGATCTTTCTGGATTTATTTTAGTAGATTTTTGCTATTTAAAGTCGTGTCTTACTTGAATATTCAAAATTGATTTTTGCTTAATAAAAGTGAAAGTAATTTTTGCGACCATATTTCTATTATTTCCATGAATTTTACAACATTTTTTGGAATTTAAATTACTTTGGCAGTAAAATAATTATGAAATAAGTATAGACCTAGACGAGAGAGAGAGAGAGAGAGATGAGGGGCGGTGATGGGGGTGGTGGCCTGTAAGGTGGTGGGAGGAGGTGGCTCGTTGGTGGAGAGGAGAGGAGAGAGAGATGAGGGACCAAATAAGAACAAAAAGGATAAAATTGAATTTTTATATTTATTTTTTTTTCAAAAAATAATTAGAGGAGTTTATTTATATTTTTTTGGAATTTATTTATATTTTTTTTATCTTATGAATTAAAATGTACATATTTAAAAGAGAAATGATAGGACTTTTAATCTCAATTGTCAACTCTTCTTTTGAATATAATATAATTAAAAATGAGTCGAAGAGAAAGTGGTGTTTATGAAATTTTCTTTTATCTTATTATTATATTCAGAAGAAGAAGAAGAAAAATCGACAATTAAAGTCGAAAAATTTATTATTACTTCTAAAAAAAATAGAACTATTTACGCACAAAATTTTTTTTTTTTTTTTTTGTGCACTAAACCCAAAATAAAAACTCAACTAAATTCCACAATTTTATTTTTGGTATATCCACAAACAAAGAAAATTACCGGGGAAAAAATATACTTGCAAAATGAAATCCACCAATAAAGCCAATCTTGACAACACACAAACAGATCACATACATATAGATAGATGAATATAGAGATATAGTGAGGCTCTTCTGTACACTTACAGTGTGAAGCATAACCTCAACCCAGGGAGCAGATTTCAAAGGGCTGACGCTGCCTTCTCCGACGAGGGCGACTATTCTCACAGGCGGAGCATTTGAGTCCGTCACCGCAGTCTCAACAGTTTCCAAAACGGCCGAAATGGTACAGGAATTGGTTTTCCGGCGAGGAAACGAGTGAATTGAAAGCCGAGCGGTTTGACGGAGGTGAGAAGGAGGAGGGTAACCGGTTTGGATGAACCGGCGGTTCAGGGGTTTGATTTTGAAAAGAGCCGATAGCGCAACATCTAGAGCCATGGTGATTACTTACTACTGGGGATAACAGGGGATAGCCCAGGAAGGCAAGTCACAAAATGGAATCAATCGGAATTGCTACAAACCACTCACCTAAGACGACATCGTTTACATTTCATATATAAGGGTACCAAAAAAAAATATGAAATGATAATGTTATCCTCCTAACATGTTTAGTTGATTAATAAAAATTAAAAAAAAAAAGCGAATAATAATAATTATTTTTGGTAAAAGAAAGAAAATAAAATTATTTTAATAAATTTATTATTATAAACTTTTATATTTTAGAAAACAAATTTATAGGATAAGTAATTGTTGAGCTTGATACTCACTGCCAACTAAACATGTTTATATTTGATTAATTATTTCAAGTTTGCTAGGGACATTTGGTATTACTTTGGGGAGCTTCTTCATTGGAATGTGCCCATTTTTTCTGATATGCAACAACTTGGTAATTGATTTCTTTCAAACTTTAGTGTTAATTCTATACAGAATAAGATACATAGAAGTGTTGGGAATTCACGAGGAAGGATTGTGTGCCAAATATCTGGTACGCCAGCAATTATCTGTCGTTTTAAATAGGATGTCTTTCATTACATTTCGAAATGCATTGCTAGCCGAATGGCAACTGGAAATCTCTTCTTCTTTCCCCTGCAAGTAAGGAAACTTTAATTAAAGCAGTTTTGAATGCCTTACCCACCTATGTGCTGTCTTGTTTTCAGTTACCCCATAAGCTCTGTGAGTTAATGAGAAAGATTATTCGGGGTTTTGGTAGGGTTCTGATGCGGAATCTGCTAAATTAGTTAGGTTAAATGGAATGTTTTATGTAATGCTAAGGAGGAAGGGGGATTAGAATTTTGCAATTTTGAGGCATATAATATTGCTTTAGTGGCTAAACAAGGGTGGAATTTTCAAGTTTCTCAACAGGGGTTAGCCTTTAAACTTTTTAAAGCTAAATACTTTCGGAATTGTTCTTTTCTGGATACGTCATTGGGATCTAATCCATCTTGGGCTTGGCAGAGTATTTGGTCTACCCAATCTCTCTTAAAAATTGGGGCCTGATGGATGGTGGGTAATGGTCGATCTATTAATATATGGACGGATTGTTGGGTGCCGGGTCTTTCTAGTACATTGCCTAGGCCTTCTTTTCGGGAGACTCCATCTTTGGTGCATGAGCTTTTAAATCCCTCTGGGACTGGATGGAATGTGGAGTTGTTTCATTCTTTATTTCCACCGTCCATTGTGGCTAATATTCCGGCTTGTAGTTTCAGTTTTTGCTCTAAGGAGGATGCATTGGTTTGGGGCGAGGAGTCTAATGGTCGGTTCTCTGTTAAATCTGCCTATCGCTTGGCTAACCGCATGACAAGATTTCCTAATTCCTTTTCGTTCGACAATTCTCCAGTTGATTCTACTCACATTAATGGATGGCGCCATTTGTGGCAATGTACCGTTCCCCCCAAAATCCAGCATTTTTGGTGGAAATGTTGTCAATCTGCTCTTTCTGTGCGTAGTCTTCTTCAGTTGCACATATGATATGAAGGTGGAGCTTGTGTGTCCTCAGTGTGGTTTGGGTAAGAATCTATTGAGCATTTGTTTTTTCAGTGCCCTCAGTCTGTTCATGTTTGGAAATTATCGCCGTTGCAATTAGATTTTATGTCTAACCCTCCAGGGTCTTTTAAGGAATGGTGGATGCACTTGTTAACCCAATGGGGGCAGGGGACTGTTCACCAGGATTTGCTTTGTTGGATAGCTTTTTGTTGCTAGGGTATTTGGAAAGCGCGTAATAGGTTTCTTTTTTAAGGTGAGTTGTTATCTCCTTTACGCATTGTTTCCTGGGGCTAAAGTTTGGGAATTTAAAGACTGTTTCGCCTCTTCTACCCAGTCTTTGGCGTCTTTTGCGGGGGGAGAGAATCCCAATATGCCCATTCATTCATCCTCTTCCCATTGGTTGCCCCCTCCTGTGGGTATGGTTAAATGTAATGTGGATGCATCGTTTTCATTGCCGAACCGGATTGGTGGTGGAGAGGCTGTTTTCCGAAACTCCCAGGGTCAGATTATAAAGTCGGTGGTTTTTTCTCCTTTTAGTTTGTCTTCTGCTTCCCACGCCGAGGTTATCTCTATTCGTAAAGCAGTCTTGTGGGCTATATCTCAGTGTTATGATAAGGTTTGGTTTGAATGTGATTCGTTGCTGGTGGTTCAGGCAGTAAATGGTGGGGATGGTGGTCCGGTTGAGATTATTTTTCTTTCTTTTGATGTGCAAATGTTGTTGGAGCGGTTCTCCTGTTCTCGTCTTAGTCATGTCTGACGGCATGGCAATGGAGTCACTCATGCGCTTGCCAAGCTTTCTAGGCCTCATATTATGAGTGATGTTGTTATTGCTCATATTCCTGCTGATATTTTGGATTTGGCAGCAAAAGATTGTATCTGTTGATCTTGTTGCTGTTTGTTTTCCAGGACAACTAAAAAAAAATTAAAAAAAAAAAAAAAAAAAGATATATAGAAGACTAATCTTTACCACTTCATGGTTCATTTGGAATTAAAGGAATCAAAGACTCCAACATGATTTAGTTAGGACAGCAGAGGCGGTGGCCCGACTAATTTGGGGAGAAATCATAGACATTTCTAGACTCACTTTTTGAACTCTTCTATATGGATGCTTTTGCAGCTAGTGGATGCTGCCTAGTAATGTTGTGCTTATAGTGCTATAGCTCTAGCGTTGTCATTTGATGATGCCTTGTGCTCCTTTGTAGCTTTTCTTAATTGGTTTTGCTTCCTTCTGTTGCTTTGATTTTATTTCTGTGTATTGGCGCCATGGTTTCCAACAGTCAAGTTTGGCGCATTTGTTTCCCGGGTGTAGCAAAGTGACTATATAAGTAGATACTCTCTCTTTCTCTCTCTCTCTCTCTATATATATAACATGCCCTAAGCCGCAGTGTAAATTTGATTTTGTTTTAAAGGTAAATTTGATATTAAAAATATCACATTAGCCTCCCAAAAGTTACTTTTAAAGCATACCCATTCCTTTCAAAACCATCAATTCCCTTCCCTTCTAAGCATTTATACCAAAACATAATTTTTTTTTTATCACCCTCCATTACCTTTCTTTTCTTTTCTTTTCTTTTCCTCTCATTTCTATTGCACCAAATTGGGCCTAAAGTACTCCATTATGTGAACATAACGGTCATAAAAGTACCACATCACTCAAAAATTAGAATGATACTAATTTAAATTTTATCACTTAAATGTTGAAGTTGTTGGGGAATAATTAACTCTCTCCAACTCACTCAACAGTCGACTGTTGTTAAGAGTTAAATTTCTCTTTCATCACACACAGTGGAAGCATCATTACATTATATTAACACAAGTATATATGGAGATAACAATCACACACATCCATACACAATATAATATTTTACATAATTCACCCAACTCTAGGATTACATCCATGAGAGATAGATATTTCACTATTATGAATCAATGAAGAGAATATACAACCACATGCCCCAAACACTCACTCGTCATCTCTTTTAAGGCTACATGTATACACTTGGGAATTACATATACTCTCCTGTCTGCTCACAACATTCACCCTTAAACCCCTCACATCTTTTCTCTCTTCTCTCTCTCTTTCTAAACCTCTTATACCCATCTCTATTTATAGAGTCTTCAAACCAAATTCCTTGTTGAACAAGGATCAACTTGCCTACAAGGAGTTACCATATCCATCTTCAACTCTAAAATAGTAGGTATAATTTCTTCCCCAAATCTTCAGCCTTTTCCCCAAGTCTTCTGGCTTCCAAAACTGATTAAGAAACTATTTCCCACAGCTTCCAAAGGGAGTTAAATCGCAACACTTGAACTCGTTCAACTTTGTTGCCCAAAAAGTGTTGCAACTCAATGCCTCACTTGAACTGGTTCAAGTGTCCTTGAACTTGTTCAACTAAGGCAGTAATTAAAGTCCAACTCATCACTCCAGTTGAATTGGTTCAAAGTTCTTGAACTAGCTCAAACATGCTAGTATCTTAGACTCTACCTCGAACAACGATATCTTCAGAGCTCCACCTCAAACTTTTCATAGCTTTACCTTAACTGAAGATTTCTCCACCTTAACTAAAATACTATGATGAACTTGAGAAACACTCTAACAGGAATTTACTATTGTGTTGGGAAAATTTCACTACTTTAATAATAATTTTTTTAATAAATACGGTAATAATTGAATCGCAAAGGTAGCCTCAATTTATAATATTTTAATAATATAATATTATAACTAATAACAATATATCATAATAGTTGGCGATACCTCTCCTTTAAAGTATCACATTTTGAGTGCAAATTTTACATCCATATCACTTTATCAATGTGGCTTGTATTAAATGGTTTTGTCGTAAGAAAAAAATATAAAACAATCTTAAAAATAAAACATGACTAATGGAACTTTAGTTTCATCAAATTTGTTTAAAAGAAAGATTATATATATATATATATATATATATATATATATATATATATTATACGTTTTACTTTGAAAAGTGATAAAGCAGCACTAAGTTACATAAAGTCTTATTAGAGTGTGTTACATAAAGTTTTATTAGTGTGTGATTTATTTTAAATAAATTTTGTTGTGAATTTTTTATTATATAGTATTATTTTCATTTAAACCATTAAATTTATGTTTTGAAATTTGACATAATTAGAGTTTTAAAAAAAATAGAAAAAATGGGAGAGAGCATTCATGACTGCATAGTGAGATGTAACTCATCTTAGAACTTTTCTCTTAAGAAGCACATACAATTCTAAGAGGTGTTGCGTCTATGTTGGATACCAAATTCATGGACAGAGCTATACATTTTTCTAACACTTCATGATCGTGTCTAAAATTTAAAAATATTTTTTATTATTTTAGACACTTAGTCAAATACATCTCGGTCACTTGACTGATACATCTCATATATTTGATTAACACATTCGTAACACTTGATAACATATCCAATTAAGCTTGTATAAAAAAAATATATGTCAATCCTTATAACAACATTACAAACATATATCAAAGTGTTTAATTTTTTTTTCTCTATTCATTTTT